TCATCATCATCATCATCATCATCATCATCATCATTATCGTCATCATAATCATCATCATTATCATCATTACCGTTATTATTATTTTTATTTTATTATTATTAGTTTAGTTTGTAAGAATGATGTATTTCATTTTTGCGATACTATCCATAGTCACGGGTTTATCTTGTAAGTACATTTTTTTTTTGCTATTTCTGTAATTATATAAACAAACGAATAAATTATTTTTATCATATTTCTGCTGTTTTGTACTTGAATATCCTCTATATTTCTTTGTTACACGTTTGTTTGTCAGAATTGTCATCTTCGATCCGTATCTACGGTTAAGGCGGATGCGAACGCAGTTAAAGACCCACATTAGATCCGACGATTACATTACGGAGAAATCTAAAGGAGGGAAATATTTCAAACGAATCGATTAGAAGTCTACCATATACAATGTTCTGCACATTTTATTACAAATGTTCATCGTTGTGTACTGGAATGTCTTGTGTTCAGTGTGTTTTTCAGTGTCTACGTCTAATTCTACGTTGAATATTATACAAGAACTAATACGAAAATTTTGAATCTTATAAGATTCATGTTATCCTTCGAATTAACACGTCTGCTAGTAACGTCACATATTTGTTCGATATTTTACATATAGAAAATGAAATTAACGCTGCCGAATCGCTCGTTTTAGTTTCATTTTTTTTTAAAGATCTCATTTCGACGATCTGTTCGATTCGATAGAATATTCCAATCGAGAAGATCGACAATGAAACAAACACTGGTAGCGGACGTGTTGAAGGGAGGAATCTATTTGTAACGGTGAGCCAACGGCACACGGAAGTTGCGAAATTCTCGTTTAATTTTACAGCTCTTTGCGATAATTGTATTCGGATGCATAAGCAACAAGGGGTACATGACGAAGGCGGACGGAAAAGAAGTGTGCCTCTACGCCGAGGACCCTAACGCTTGTAATTACGGAATAGGAATCGGAGTCCTTGCCTTCCTTGCCAGCATCGGGTTCCTTATTGGGGAATACCTCTTCGAACAGATGTCCTCCGTGAAAACCAGAAAGCACTTCGTCCTTCTTGACCTAGGGTACTATTATCAATTTCATTCTTCTTGGCATGGCTCCGAAACAGACAAAATTGTTTCAATGAAATTCAAGACAAGAAAAAATTATTTGTAACAATTTTACATTGATTTTACATACAATTTTCTTTTTTTTCTCTCTCTTCTCTCAATATTTAAAACATTCTAATTGGGTTGTAAATTTCAATAGCTTCACTTAAGGCATGCTTCATTTATTTTTTTGAAATGTTATTGACAGAGTGGAAAACTTATTTTTAACTCAGGATTATTTCTCCAGTTGCGAGTCACTACTGTGACCACTATTTCCGGGCACTGGAAATAGTAAAGAAAGATTAGATGGTGGGGATAACCGCCCAGTGATCTTGAGTGGCTTGAATTTTCTGATCCGAATATTGAAACGAATTTTGTGTTAATTTCTTGATTAACGTTTAAGTATGATCTATTTCAAATGAAATATAAATATTCAATTTTGATGTTTAGATCTTCAGGTTTCTGGGCATTCCTTTACTTCGTTGGATTTTGTTATTTAACCAATTCTTGGAATAAATCGGATGTACCGAGCGATGTGGATGGAGCGAAAAGCGTCCAGAGCGCTATTGCGTTCTCCTTCTTCTCAATCTTTACTTGGGTACATAGATTACTGATCTATATAAAAAGTTGAAGGCGGATACTTAAAGAAAAATATTAGTTTTGTTATTCCAGATATGTAATTCTGAATTTAATATTTTGTTTAATATTAATAGGCTGGCTGTGCCTGGTTTGCCTTCCAAAGATTCAAACAAGGAACCGATGCTGCTTTCGCACCTAGTTATGAGGCCGATCCTGTCGGAGGAACAGGCTATACAAGTTATCCTGATGCAACTGATACTGGTTATCAAGACCCTCCTTTTGGTCAACAACAACAACAGCAGCAGCAGCAGCAACGGATGCCTGATTTCCAAGCACCAGCTTACTAACCCCTTCAGACATAATCTGATACTATTGGTAAACTTAAATTTATACCGATCTATGTGGTTAGATGTTAAAAGTATTTAGCAATTACCTTTGTGTTATGACATATGAGGAAGTCTTATTTTTCTTGGTTTATATAATGGAAATAGATTTTTGTTGATTTCATGCGATTACTTGAATTTGTTCCTCCAACTATACATGCTCAAGTCTGTATATACATAATTAATGTTGAGAAAAAGAAGGTATCTATGATGGCGCAAGTGGGAAAGTGCTTTTTTTACTCTCACAGTCATGCAGATTACAAATGTATGTGAGAATGGGTGTGTCTCCTTACACTTTGACCAGTCAGATCCATATTTCTTCCAATCGCTGTCTTTTCAATAATGCACCATATAAGTGCATTTTTCTAAAAATAAAATAAATTATTTAAATAATTCATTTTACATTTTTTAATTATTATTTAGTTACAGCATTGTTATTTATTATGACTCAATACAAAATTTTGTTTTAGTAAATTTAACATAATAGCTTATTTTATTTAATAGTTTATATTATTTCAGATACAACGCAAGAATCAATAGAACAAAACAAGATGAAAGCTCCATATGAAACTCTTCGATTACTCGATAGATCATTGAGCAATGTCAATAGAGTAAGTTTTCATAGTAAGACAATTATAGTGAATGAAAGGGAGGGGGAACAAGGCAAAAAGAATGGAATAGAAACACAGAGAAGGAAGAAGTAAGAAGGAAAAGAAAGAACAAGAGAGAGAATGTGTGCATGTGCGAACGTGTGTGTGCGTGTGTATGCGTGTACATGTAAAAGACTACATAGTATATGTGGATCTATGCGTGAAAAACAACAAACGTTACTTGTTGAAACTGTGCTTCTTATTGTTGACCACTTACTAAGCCTTACACCTGAAATTAATTTGGTGTGGGCATAAATGAAGAACAAACAAAACAAAAAAATTAATTGGCTTAATGCCCTCGAGTATACATTTGAGAATGAAATAAAAAAAGAATTGTAGGAGTACAGAGCAAAAAAAGAGAGGTGTGAACAAAAGATGGGTGACAACCATCTACAAAATTATATATATATATAATATATATGAATATAATATATAAGGTGTACCGAAGATAGAGCTGTACAAGTGAAAAATGTAAGAATCCTGTATCATTGAAAAAAAAAACGATTTTCAAGCTTTCAGTTTTTTAATGGGTTACAATTGAGGTATCCAATTTGCACGCAGCTTTGTTATACATTCAAAAGTGTTATAAAATGAATGCACAGCTGCACTTCTATTTAATCATAGCCAGTAAGTGGCGATAAAAGTTTTCACTCTTAGAGGAATTTCTATGTTTTTCATTTGTATTATCGTTTTCAAAACACCATGTATATGACACGTATATATATGTATACATACGATATATATACATATATGTAATGGATAGCGGTTCTGTAATAATTCTTAAGTAGTTACATGCACATATATTTTACTGTGTTGTATCGTGTTCATACAAAATCGCAAATACGATCGTACCTTCTCCATATACAGGACCTATCAAGAGTTAAGAATTTGTTACAAGTTTTATTTTTTCGTCTATTAATCTTTATGTGACATAATTTGATTAGAGAACTTTTTATTAGTAATTCGCCGCGTGTTATATCTACTTACATTCCAGCGAATTACAAGTATGTTTTCTATAAATGTATTATTACCAGAAGTTTATTATTATTAAATATGCTACGTCGTATATTTGAACTAAAATAAATGGGTCCCATGATTTTGAAAATTAAATATAAAATTGAAATTGTTTCGTTAGTTTTGTTAATATTGGTATCACTGGTCCACAATAAGGTTATTTAATAAATATGTGTACAAACACAGTATAAATAATTGAGAAATTGGGAAAGCAATGTTTAAAGCAATTTTATCAGGAAATTAGTATGAATGTATTAAATGCTCAAAAAAATGTAAACAAAAATTGCAAAATGTGTATATATTGTACCATTCAGTTATTAATTCTTAGTATTTTAAGAATTTACTTACTATTTCTTTTTACAATCAAATTTTTTTAATTATCAAACATTCTTAACCCAGTTTCTCAATTTGTTTGTAATGATCGATAAGATTAAGTTTCTAAGTTGGTTATTCGCAGGGTATATATAAGGTATGTAAATTCGAATTTGTTGTTTTCACGTTGACCAGCCTGTATTGGTTCAATCTGACAAGCCAAAATACTTTGTTACATGAAAACTACTTTTTACTTTGTCGTAAAGATTAGGGATAACGAATGATTTTTACATTCTTTTTTGTATTTGTAATTGTAATGTTTTGTTTCGTAATTGTATTTGAAACAGTTGGTCTTCGAATATGCGAGTTACGGCATTTCAGCAATATTGAAGCGACGTTGAAAAGAAAATTGCTATAAATCTCGCGACTAACTGATGTATGTAACTGTCCCGTTTTCTTCGTGTTGCCTTCACTGCCTTTGTTTCGGTGGTAAAAATGAAGTAGCAGAACAACAAATAAAACTCTGTTTCTACGACAAACTGTACTATTACTTCTTTCGGAGCGCTGTCAATATTGCGTACTCTTGAAGAACAAATCGAATTAACGATATCAATAATTTCTGTGTCTATTATAATGATAACAATACAATGTAAAAACCTAATTGGCTCTGCTGCTGTTATTGTTGTTGTTGTTATTATTATTATTTATTATTATTATTTTTATTTGTACTTCCAATTTCGATTGATTTTTTTTTAACAGTTACGTATTGTTGTCGTTATTGTGGACAACTTTCTCCGATTAAGGGGGAAAATGTTCTCGGGCCAATAGCAGTATAGATCTTCATGACATTTAACTTCCGCCTGGACTTCAGTTTTTACAGTAACGACTATTTACTACTTCACACAATGTGAACACTGTTTTCGCTGAGGGAGTGAGAGTATTTATTAAAAATGGTATCGATAATTAAATAGTTGTTGTATCATTGTGACTGTACTAGGTGTCTCATTGAAATAAATATCAAACCATTACACATGGACGGGATCTGTATGCATTGTCACAAATATTTTCAGTCATTCTCTGTAATTTGATTTTGTTTTTTTTTTGTTTATTTTGA